ATGTGTCTCTTGTCCCTTCACACCATCCTGACATACTCAAATTTTCTCCTCTCATGAAAAAATAGAAATTAAAAAAGGATTTGATTTTTTTCATTCACAATATCTGTATACAATAAAACAGTCTTTCAATCCAGGATAATGTCTCAGCTGAACTGGGTGAAATACTAAATAATTAGTCTTCCCATGTCTAAATAAGGATTGAGAAATTCTGACCTGATCATTTATGATGCAACTGTACATAGCAAGTGCAAAACGTTAACAACATTTCTGCTAAAACTGGATACAGAACAAATCAAGTAGATATACAATCTGAGGTTACAATATTTTGATGATACTGATATTTACTGTAACATTAATTTAACTATAAATATAACTAAAGATTGCTGTGCACTACTAAGAACTGAATAAAATAGATATGATTTTGCACTTATAAGAAATGTACAATGATTAATATTTAGGATGAAATGGAACAGACCAGTAGTGTGATTAAACATTCTAGAACTTGTATTGTGAATTTATATTGACTGCAAGAGTTATAATCAGTTATGATTTAGGTTATCTTCATGGCACTCTGGACACGTCCATAGGTGCTCAGACTTCCCCTTCAATATATACATCAGTGTTCCCAGTTGATGGTCCCAGTCCTCTGTTGGTTGACAAAACTTCTCATGCATCCTGTGTGCTTCTCATGCCTGGCTGTGCTGATCTTAACTCCCAATTCTTGCACTCTTAGCAAAGATGTGGATGTGCTGCTCCTAGAATCCTCTAAGAGTATATTACTCATAGCTGCTATTTATTAATTGGATTTTAACGCAATAATGAAACCACACAATTTAAACTGTAAACAAAAAGTAAAACATTATTAAACAAGACAAACTACAAATAAAAAGAAACACAAAAGCTGTTTGCATAGATATACTTATTTTTACTTTTGTACCCTACTAACTATAGGAATTATTTATTAAAAGAAAAAAAATTTAGTTTCATGGTTTTCATACTGTGGTTTGAGAGTTGCACCATGGAGGAGACTAGGGCCCCACCATGTAATGTATTCCCAAAGACTTCAGTGGTATACTGTAGCCCACTTTCACTGTAGAGATAAGCACTTACACTTAAAAAAAAAAAAAAAAAAACTTTAGGAAAATGTAAGTAATGAATATTAGGCAGTAGAGAAATTTATACTTGGTTGTCGTAATGTTGTAAAAAATTATAAGCAGTATACATTATAATTACAAAGAATAAAGCACCGATTTCCTGACCAATGAATTCTTAGCTGAGATTATATCTTACTGCCAGGTTTTTTTAAAGGGCATTTACCTCAATGTCAGTTTGTATTTCAAATATATAAAATTAATATGCAACTTATGTGTGAGTGTGCGTGTACAATTACAAACAGTTGCCATGTGAGATGGCTTAGGCATTTATGTCTCTCCACTTATCTTGGTCTTGGTGTCCTGAATCAGTTTTTATTTTCTGTATGCCACCATCTTATACTGTAGCATCATTTCCCTCAGACTCTAGTATAATTTCTCTCGGTCTAGCGTAATATCTCTCAGTCAAGCATCTTTTTTTCCCGCAGTCCAGCATAATTTCTCTGTGTCTCTAGCATCATTTCTCTCAGTCTAGCATCATTTCTCTCAGTATAGAATAATTTTTCTTTCTGTATGTCTAGTACTACTTCTCTCAGTCTAGCATCATTTCTCTCAGTCTAGCATCATTTCTCAATCTAGCATCATTTCCCTCTGTCTGTCTAGCATATTTCTGTCTGTCTAACATCATTTCTATGTATTTCTAGAATCATTTCTCTCTTAAATCAATTCTCTGTGTCTCTGGAATCATTTCTCTCAGTCTAGCATCATTTCTCTGTGTCTGTAGCATAATTTTTCTCAGTCAGTCTAGCATCATTTCTCTCAGTCTAGCATCATTTCTCCCAGTTTAGCATAATTTCTCTCAGTCTAGCATCATTTCTCTCAGTCTAGCATCATTTCTCTGTGTCTGTAGCATAATTTTTCTCAGTCAGTCTAGCATCATTTCTCTCAGTCTAGCATCACTATTCTCAGTCAGTCTAGCGTCATTCCTCTCAGTCTAGCATCACTGTTCTCAGTCAGTCTAGCATTATTTCTCTCAGTCTAGCATCATTTCTCTCAGTCTAGTATCATTTCTCTCAGCCTAGCATCATTTCTCTCAGTCTAGCATCATTTCCATGTGTTTCTAGAATAATTTCTCTCTTAAATCAATTCTCTGTCTCTAGAATCATTTCTCTCAGTCTAGCATCATTTCTCTGTGTCTGTAGCATAATTTTTCTCAGTCAGTCTAGCATAATTTCTCTCAGTCTAGCATCACAGTTCTCAGTCAGTCTAGCATCATTTATCTCAGTCTAGCATCATTTCTCTCAGTCTAGTATCATTTCTCTCAGTCCAGCATCATTTCTTCAAGCCTGTCTAGTATTACCTCTCTCTGTCTTTTCTACCACAGATTTTTCTCAGTCAGTCTAGCGTCATTTCTTCAAGCCTGTCTAACATCATTTCTCTCAGTCTAACATTATTTCTCTCTGTCTAGTATTACCTCTCTCTGTCTTTTCTACCACAGATTTTTCTCAGTCAGTCTAGCGTCATTTCTTCAAGCCTGCCTAACAACATTTCTCTCTGTCTAGTATTACCTCTCTCTGTCTTTTCTACCACTGATTTTTCTCAGTCAGTCTAGCGTCATTTCTTCAAGCCTGTCTAACATCATTTCTCTCAGTCTAACATTATTTCTCTCTGTCTAGTATTACCTCTCTCTGTCTTTTCTACCACAGATTTTTCTCAGTCAGTCTAGCGTCATTTCTTCAAGTCTAACATTATTTCTTTCTGTCTAGTATTACTTCTCTATGTCTTTTCTACCACAGATCTTTCCAGTCATCACAATGTTTTTTAATGCTTCTCTTGTCATCACATGACCAAACAACTATGTCTCTTTATGATATTTGTGACCAATGTTCTAATTCCATTAGCTTTTGCCTATTGTTAGTTTCTCAGAGTCTCTGTATTGACACACACAGTGTTTCAAATATAATTAAATTTATCTAAAACCATTTGTTATCAGTAACTGATATGTATAATTTCTGACCACCATCCATGCCACTCATGTTTTTTTACCTTCTTTACTGACTACATTTTTATTTCTAATAAAACTATTCCATTCAAGGTCAGGTACAATGTTACAGACCCACTGTAGCCTGTAAACTGGTGAGTTTTCCCAGTACTGTCGATGGTTCTCAGTAGCTGTTCTTGTTTGTGCTTGTAGATACTAGAAAATAATAACTACACTCTGGTTCAAGAATGAAAGACTATGCTTACACTATTTACATAGTAACAGCTCATATTTAAAACAGAAATAAATTATTCAATTGTTTAATAAGCGTTTCATCCACGTATGCCTAGTGAAATTTCATATTGCCTTTTCCCTGTTCCTAATAAAATAAAAGATTGTGTTTGATTAAAAAAAAAAATCATGACAGTTAACTGTCATTGTATAATGGTTGCCTAATGGTGAAACACACTGTCTATTGTGTTTTTCTAATGCTTTCAGACTTGATAAAAAATGATGTAAAATGTCAGTCAATAATGTTATAGATTAAATTTATTCTATTACATTATCATAGATTTTCCTTTTCACTGCCACTTTTAAATATTTATTTCTTCAGAAATTACCATACACTGTTTACCAATTCTTTATAAACATGAAGCCAAAGAGGCTTTTTGAAATTAAATTATCAGTAGTTTGTTGGCACTGTTCTGCTTTCGATCAGTGTTGTTACATTGTGCTATAAAAAGACATGGCAATCACAGGCCACTGTGATGGCGAATGTGACTAGCAACACCCGCTCTTGTTTAGAACAGTCTCTTACAGTTAGAGCATAGGATCATAGGCCCATGGCTGCAACTGGATGCATTTAACCCTCTGGGGACAGAGCCTTTTTTTTAGATTTTCAGTGGCAAAAGGACAGAGCCTTCAGGAGGGGGATTCTTACAGTTTATACACAAAAAAATTATAAAAAAAATAAAGAATTTAATTAACATATACAAAACTATACATATATTGGTGTAGGAAATTGAATGAGGTAAAGAATATTTATGAATCAAACTAAAATCTCAACATTTATTAAAATCAACTATTCTGATTTACGTAATTTATGCAAGCATTTTTTTAAAACCTATGGAACAAATATGACCAATCTAAAATATTTGTGTAAATGTTTTGATGGATGAAGCCTGAATAAGTCCTAACACCTGTTTTTTTTAGACATAAGGCCCATGGAGGCCTTTCAGACACTTCTGGCACAGGGTTCTTCTCCTTTTCCTGCAATGTTTCAATTGCTATGACGCAATAGTCCTTTTTCACCACTGATGGGCACAATTTAACCCCACACACAAAAAACTGATGTAAAAATACAAAACACATAAAACTTTCTTAAAAGCTGTCATTGAACAGCCCATATGTGCAAGAAATGCAAGAAACAATCTGACTGGCTGGTATGAAAATATGAAAACTTGCCAGCCAATCTCAAAGCTTGCATGATATTGGACCCACCGATTGGCCCATTCGTCCTTTTGGCTACTTTGTGTTAGGCCGATATTTCGGCCGCATCGTCTCCAAAGAGTTAATGTGACTTTTCTCAGATGCTAATCTTTTAATCTATTTACAATCATGTTCTTCTTTATTCATATTACCTTTCTGATCCCCCCCCCCCCCCCCACCTTTTTCATACAGCACTGTCAGTAGATACACACATAAATTGACACCAGAAAATTCACACAAAAGTATATTATATGTAATGTACAGAGTTTGGCAATCACAGCCTAAGGCAAAAGTTTTCACAATTATATTTGTGTGCCTAGGATAAAACAGCTTTCACAAAACAAAGCTGCCATGCTATGATCCACACTTCAAGGCTGCAATGCTGTGAAATAAAATATCATTTGAAAGATTCTTGTTTTATTTTGTTTTTCTCCACACACCTAAACATCTGTTCCTCTTTGTTGGGATTTACAAGAAAAGCACAAGAACAACCTGCAATCAAATGACCAGCTATTTTGTTCCAACTCTATTCTGTCGTGAGAAGATGAGAGTTCCCTTTTGTCCTCCTCAACTTTTGTGTTACTCTTTTGTTTACTATCTGATAAAAATTTACCCTGTGGATAAAATACAAAAGATAAGTTATTAATCTTTTGGGAATGTATCTACAAAAACATAGCTCAAATATATTTTTGTCAGTTGCTGGACACTGCAGAATCCAGTGAGGACTGAATCTGAGCACTTGTGGACTAAATGGTGTGATGTGCATTGAGCATGATCTGTCAGTTTACTAACTTGAGCTGAGTTGATTCAAGAACCGACATTACAGCACTCAGGGCATTACCATAAGCACTCTGTTCCCATCCTCAGCAGCAAGTGAAGACTTTCGATAATAATGGTGCCAGTAGCATTCTGATTAAACGTTGGTCTTGCCTTTCCTCTGAGCTTAGAGCATCTGCAAGAACTTTTCGTCACTTACCACTGCATCAATCTTACCAGACTGTGGTGATCCATCTGCTCCTCTGAACTGTACATGCTCTCCCACAAGGCACTAACCATGTCTGCCTTATAATGGCATCATTATTTCACTAAGTTGAGCAGAGCCAGCCAGTCTGTCTGCCTGTTCATTTCCCAATACACCGGTGTATACCTGGTGAAATAATCCAGATAATACTCCTCACCCGTGTCCTCTGCAGTAAAGCATGCCACTCTGCATGAAGCATGCCTGTCCTGATCTTCCTCAGGATGCTGGGTCAGTAACAATCATGATGTGTGTGTGTGTGTGTGTTTTCTAGTTTACTAACTGGATGTAAATAATTACCCAATATCATCTCATATTATCTTGTTCCCCTGGATGTGGGTAATTGCAGTGTCCTGATAAAAGCCTCAAAACAATCAAATACAAAGTTTCAGTATAGTATATAGCAGCAGGTCATGTTCAGAACATCACTCTCATCATGGTCTGCCTGAAACTCAGTCTCTCCCTATATTTTTTTTCCAATCCGCCACGACGCTTGATATAACCAAAATATTTCATCTTCCAGTCAAACTTTCTTGATGTTCAGATCTTTTCAAATTTCAGTATTTCTTTGTTTCTTTGTCCATGTTATTCTGAGAATATTTCTATAGCATTTCAGCTCATATATTTTTTCTTAAGGACTAGGAGATAGTGCACAACTCACATGTTAAAAGATAGTCTGTGAAAAAATAACAACTGAAAAATGTCAAACACATTAAAAGACATAACACTCTTTTAAAAACCATAGTGGGGGAAAAGATGAAGACAAGAGAGCTAGAGGTCAACAATGATGTAAGTGGAAGGAAAACAAAAAGAGATGGGCAAACAGCAGTCTGACAGAGTGTGCAAACAAGACAAAGCACGTTGGAAATCTACTGGACCCAACATCCACTGTGGAGATGGCACCCGTTTAAAAATAAAAATATTAATTTATTGATTAATTTTTTGATGTAAACATCAGCAATTGGTCCAATACTACATTCTGTTCTGCAGAACACACCAAATATTGCACTTTATCTATTCCTCAACACTTTTTGCTACAAGGAACGGTGTGTGATTAGCTTTTTCATGTGAATCCCATCCATTATGCAGCATGGTTCCTTTTATTTTATATTTAGTCAGATCCCACACACTAGAGAAATCTGGCCTTTACTGTGATCTTGCAGCATGATATTTCCTGTACTGAAATTCACTGGGTAAAAGAAGTATTGGAAGAATAAATATAAATATTGAGATGCGATGATAATTAGACATGGATCATTTGAGAAATAAAAAGGGTTTTATAATGTGGACGAGGCATAATCTGACATCTATTAGTTGAGGAGTTATGCTATATAAAAAGATAAAGGCAAACAGGATGACAATGTGCCCTGTATTGAAAAACATTATTATTTAATATATAAACTAAGACATAATCAATTCTCTTTATGCCTAGTGGCACATGAGGCTTCAGAAAGGACTTTCCATGCTTTCCTGTCCTGTGCAATCTTCAGTGCAGTTTTCCATGTCAGAGATGCCTCACTCAGTTCACTCTCCATTGTTCGTCTCCATGTTGTTTTGGGCGCTCCTTTTTTCTTTTTCCCTCCGGTGTCCATGTGAGAGCTGTTTTGGCAGGTATATCAGGATTCATTCTCACAATGTGGCCAAGCTAATTTTATCTTCTCTTGGTTATCACACCCTTTCTAGAGTTTCTTGGTTTGTGACTTGAAGTAGTTTAGTGTTTCAGATTGTATATGGTCAGAAAATTTTGATAATTCTATGTAGACATGTGTGATGGAAGGTGGATAGCTTGTGTGCATACTTTTTGATCATTCTCCAGCATTCTACTCCATAAAGAAGAACTTCCACTGTGTTTAAGTGACTCTTAGTCCCTTATAGGTGAGTGGTCACTTTCATTAAGTGTCAGTCTGACTTCTCTTCTTTTGGTTTGTTTGAGCAAGACTTAATCCACTGCCAGATTGCTGGACACGTTCCAGTTTAAGGGTGTATTGAAGCATATAGATCCTATCCCACCTGATAAGCCAAAGCCCCATAAGCCTGAGACCTGCCAGCCTATCATATACTGCATACTTTACATGTGCCACTAATATTTTTGCTGAGAGGAGCACATGGCTGAGTGGATACAACATTGGGCTCCCATGCAAAAGACCTAGGTTTAAATCCTCAGTAGTGCCAATTACTGCCTTTATATATCACTTCTGTGATGTAGGCAGGGGGGTCTTTTGAGCCGGAGGATTTAGTGCTGCATGGCTAGTGCTGTCACCACGAATGTGCAGGTAAGGATTTTATTTTGCCCCCGACAGAAAAAATACCCAGCCTTACTGAGGATTCTAACCCGGGTCTCCTGCATGACAGCCCAATGTTCTAACCATTCGGCCAGCCGCTAAATCCTCAGTAAATAGTTTTTTTTTCTGTCGGGGGGCAAAAATAAACATCACAACACACAGTTCATTTTGACAGCTCTAGTCATGTGGCAAAAAAATATGATAATATATTTACAAAATAAATAAATGGAAATGTATTACTAAAATATAAAAAAATACTTGTAAAGAATTACTTAGGCAAATTGTAAAAATAGAAGGAGACCTATACAAAAGATGGAATACTTAACACTCCCCTCCTCCCACTTAAAGAAAAAAATTGTTTAAACAATTCTTTGGGGAGGGAAGTTAGGTGGCTGAGTCCCAAGGTACCAGCACTTATGCTTTACGATAATCCCTAATCTCTATAATCTCAAGCTAAAACCTCACCTCATCCTCAGCCCGTCTTCTTCCAAGTCTCTCAACCTCATCGGGATCGTATCTCTTCAGCTCCAAGGGCTCATCTTTGACTTTATGCAAATGCCTGGTATCTACCCAGATCTGATGATTATGTCCTGCAGATTTGCTCCCAGCCTGACTTGGTTGACTAGAAACTGTAGAGCTCTCCTGGGAGTTGGCTGGAGCCGATCTGCTTCTCTTTCCTGAAATGTATGTTATAACACAATACATCACAGTACAACACATTGCACTACAGTTTAATAACAAGTTAGTTGGGTATCCTTTATAAAATGTTGCAGAACCAACCCGAGCATTTGTTGTGTGCGTGGGTGGTGTCTCTTGTAGTTTTTCTAGAAAATTTTTACATTAAGTAGTTTGCACTTCAGTACTGTACCTTATACTACAGTAAACTACAGTACAGTACAATACAATACAATAAGTACAGTACAGTACATCACTGTGCACTATAAAACAGTACAGTATAATACAGTAAACTACAGTACAGTACAATACAATACAGCACATTAGAGTACAATGCATTGCACTACACCACAGTACAGTATAAGCATAAACACACTCAACAGGAAAGAACAAACATCAATTTTTAGACTTCGGACTGGACACTGTGGTCTTCGAGCACACCTGTTCAGGATAGGCATAAAAGAATCTGCTGACTGTGATTGTGGAGCAGAAAGACAGACCCCTGAGCACATACTGCAGTACTGCCCTTACCTCTCCCAGCAAAGACTGTGGATCTGGCCCAGGGGATCCACATTACGAGAGAAGCTATGGGGGACCGGTGGCGACCTTAAACGCACAATCCTATTTGTGATCCAGATGGGACTCAGTGTTTAGCATGACTGATGTTGAACGCAGAAGAAGAAAAAAATACAATAAACTACAGTATAGTACAATACAATACAGCACAGAACATCACATTGCACTGCACTACAGTACCCCATATTACAATAAACTACAGTACAGTACAATACAATACAAAACAGTGCAGCACAATACAGTACATCACACTGCACTACACCACAGTACAGTATAATACAATAAACTATGGTACAGTATAATATAACACAATACAATACAGCACAATACAGTAATCACATTGCACTGCAAGACAGTACAGCATATTACAATAATCTACAGTACAGTACAATACAATACAGTGCAGCACATTACAGTACATCACATTGCACTACACCACAGTACAGTATAATACTGTAAACTACAGTACAGTACATTACAACACAGTAAAAAACATCAGTAGTGCAACACATTACAATAAAATAAGTACAGTACAGTACAACACAATACAGTCAGTACTGTAGTGTATTTTAAAAAAGGTAGTTCTCAATGATCAGCTCTTTATAGCACTGTTGAAAATCAACACTAGACAGTCTACTGCCAAACTGCCTACAACTGGGATCGAACCCTGTACATCAGCACTACAAAGTGTGTTGACAATGCCTAAGACACAATTAAATACAATGCAATACAGTACAATACTCAACAGCCAGTAATATAAGAAAACACATGGAATTCTGGATTAAATCTAGAACCAAGAACATTTATATCTATGTGTACTCATGGACAGCCAGTAGGTAGTAAGATATAATAAACTACAACATTATTTATCTGTGTATACTATGTATGTATGTGAATGTATGTATGGAAATGTAAATCTAGATGTATGTAAGAACATTTATGTATGTATGTATGTATGTATAAAGGAACTAAACTGGTGTGATAAAATCCTCTGTGTAAACCTTTAGAAGGAAATAAAAAGATTATAGTGAAAATCTGAAGAGAAAATAGTCTTTTAGATAGGATACACATTGAGAAAACCTAATAGTTATTTAACCAGGTGCACAAGAATTCATAGATGCATGTTTTCATGTTTTCTCAGTGATTATGAATGTTTAAAAAAAAATGATTAAAGAAGGATCCATGCGAAGAGAATGGGTGTGATCATTACAAAATGCTATGAATCATTTAATCAAATTCATATTTGTCCCAGGGGGGAAACCAGCTTGCAGTAATGTTGAAACCTCGACTAAGACTAACTACTTAAATGCAAGAAGACATTAAACAGTGAATAACTATTCATATTTTGGCATCTGTGGCTTAGGGGGGTAGTGAATGCAATTTCACAATCCTGATCTGCATGGGGTTTAAAGTTAAGTGCTTTTAATGGAGGATACATAAGTATCAGCATGGTACAATTAAGAAGAAATGGTAGTATTGTAAGTAGATAGGGACCCTTTTCACAGCAGTGGTGCATAAAGGCACATGATGATAGACCCATATTTTTAAGGGCACTTGGTAGGTGATGTGGTTTACATCATGTTTGCCACCTTTACTTCCCAGGACATTACCAGGTACCAATTTCAGCATAGATCAACCTAAGAGCTAATGCCAATTCTGAAGGAAAAATATGATTTTTGTCACAATGCAGAATAGAACCCAAGACTTTTGGACTAGTAGGCAAGTGCCTGGCTTGTTCACTGCAGGGGCTCCAAATGGAAACTACTGAACATAAAATTGCCTAGTAAAACTAGTAAAACGCCACAACTGCCAAAAAAACCTTAGTCAATTTTCATAATTCTGAAAGGGACATGTAATTAAATTTTTTTTTTAAAATTCCAATTTTAAATAATCAAACGAAGTTTACCTTTTTGTTTTGATCCTTTCTTTTGCTCTGCAGAAGACACACTGCTACTGTCATCATGTCCGGATGAAGATCCAGTAGCTTCACTATCCCGCATCATGCTCTCATACCCACTGCTTGTTCCCCCATGGATGTTCTCCATCAGCGTACAGTTCCTGGAGTTATCAGGATGAACATCTGTACTGATTGTGCTGTGTTTAAAAAATATGATTGTGAAGTCTGCTTTAGTTGTATGTTGTTTGTTTACAAAACTTCTTATAGTGTTAGTTTAAAAAAAAATAAAGTGCAATGTAACAGTAAAATAATGTTGCAGCATTGCACGCCATCCATAAGTTTATTATTGCTGTCTATATATCAAGGGATACCAGAATGCAACAACAACAACACACACACACACACAAATTGTAGCCAACATGCCCAACATAAGAAAATAGGAGAGTTGGCTTGAGACTATTTAGACCTGCTGAAAGCGTCAGCTGCAAACAGAAACCAATCATGAACAAGCCTGTACAGTTTGACTTGAGTTGGTTGAGGTGTTATGTCCATTATTTGAAAAGTGAAAGACAGGGAAAGAAAGAGGGCTAGGTAGGAAGCTAAGTAGGTAGGTAGACAGACAGAGAGTTATCATTATGCCTTATATGTTTGAAAGTGCATAAGGATCATCAGTGTATTTGGTTCTATCTCATGGTTATATCTCATCACTGTGTTTTAAGCCCTTCAGAGCTGTTACCAAGGTTAAGCTTCATGAAACCAGTATGAAAGCTAACAGAAAGTTGTCGGTACTCTTTATACATTTATCACCATGTTTATTTGAATGTTTATATTTCAGAATCATATAATGTGACCGACCAAGTGTCTTTTCTGATAGTCCATGCCATATAGTGTTGGTAAACATATCTGTCCGAGCATAGATGTATTATTATTTTTATTATTATTAGTCCCTAGCTAGCACACATTTGTAAAACTTTGGATTTTGACTTTTTGTGTGTGGGTTCCTTAGAATTCATGTTAGTGAGGTTTTACTGTATGTGAGATCATCAGCGGGCAAACATGAAAACGGCAGCCTTCAGGGATGCACGCTATTGTTTACTTACTTAAGGGAGACAATTTAGTGTTTATTTACTTTCACATAAGAATGTTCACTGATATTTAACATTGCTTCAGTTTAGGGTTAAGGTAAATCCTAACCCTAAACCAAATCCTAAATTCAAAGACTAAACTAAATACAGTATTAGATTTTAAAGAATATTGTTATGTGAACTCACACAAACAATGGATTACGTTCCCTAACATTAAGATCTTAAAGTATTATATCTAGCAGTAGATTGCGTCCCCAAAAGGTCGCTGTTTTCAGGTTTGCCCATCAACGTCTGCTGCTTAGAGATTACATGCACAGTTCATAGCTCTGGAAATACCTTGCTGGATTCAACAGCAGGCTGCTTTGCACTGATTTTGACAATGTTACGAAGCATCAACCGTTCAGACAGCATTAGCAAACTTCTTCTCTTCTTCTTCTTCTCCACCTTGTACCTCATCGGGGGAAGATGTAATGTTCGTAAAATTAGCAAACTACTGAATATAAAATCGCCTAGGAACTCCACAAACAGCCAATAAATCTTACTGACTGACATTCAGCCACAACAGGACATCACACAGAGAAATAAACACCCGGTGACAAAAAGCGCCACCATTCAGATGAGGATCATCCAGGAACAGGTCCCAGAAAACCCTGTTCAACCCATAGGATGGGTTATATTAGGGCTCTTGCAACAGCTGGAGTAGGGCTTTTTTTTTTAACCAACAAATCTGACTGACTGACTGACTTTCCACTCCACCAGGACATCACACAAGCGACAAACACCCGATGACACAAAGCGCCACCATGCGGATAGGATCGCCGTGGAGAGGCTCGCGCAGACATTTGGCTGGAGTATGGGGCCTATATTGCGGCCCCTTTTTTAAACCAAAAAAATTTTGTCCTAAAAGGACGAAATTTGATTTCGACCAACAAAACAAACATCCTTTAGACGTTACACAACTAACCTGATTATGAGATCACAAAATACAGAGATACACATGAACACCAACACTGTTTAATGTGAATAACTGTGTTACCTGTTATCACTTCCATGGCCACTGCTAGAATGACTAGGAGTTCGCGGCTTTGTAACTGTGGCATAAGGGGAGAGCAATCTCTTTTCATGAGCCACAATTCCACTGTCATTACCACTGTCTGAATCATTCCCCTTGCCTTTGTGAAAAATTTCTGAAAGTAGACTTGTGTGACCACTGCTGCCCTTTTCTTTTTCTTTCTTTTTAGACTTGTTGTCTTTAGCTGATGGTGATGAAGTCCTGGAGGAGCAGATGGTAGGCAGTTTAGTGATTGATCCATTTCGTGATTTGAAGCTGGCCTTTTGAACTGGAGATGCTGCAGATGATTTCGATGTGGTTGATATGAGAGGACTTGAAGTGGTTGATGACTGTGGACTGTGTGTGGTGCTGGAGGAAGAACAACTAGCTTTGTCAGAACTAGCAAGTTTGTTTCTAACGGTTGGGCTGGACAAAGGCACATATGACTTTCTCCCACTGACTGACTGTTTCTGCTGGTTACTTACTGAGTCTTTTATGACATGTGTGGGTTTTGCCACACAGTAAATTGAGCAAGATGGACTGGAGTCAGTACATGTCTGACAGTTTGTACAGTGTTTTGGAAGCTCATTGTGTTTCTGTGTTATGGATGACTTGCTAAGAAGAGGGTGTTTGCTGAAATCTTCTCTACCATAAGAGGACTGCATACTGATGTCATGAGAAATGTTTTTATCATCAGCAAGTGTTGCATAGGGTTTTGTTGAGGTAGTATGAAGTGCAGTAGTAGAATCATTATGGCAGGCATGGACAAACACAGACTTCCCTGGAAGGCTGTTAAAATTAATTTTGTTTATAGAATCCTCTTCATTGAAAATCTGATGAAGATTAGGATTTGAAGCACCATCCGGCTTACGACTGAGCAAAGGTCTTGATAACTCCAGAGCTTCGGCATCATCTTCACAAGCAGTCGGTGAGGTATTTCTAGCACTGTGATTTCGAGCAAGATGGCGTGCCAGTTGGGTTGTCTGCTTAGACTCAGTTAGGACCTTTGTATGCTGAATAAGCAGAGATTCCAATTCACTCTGATCACGGTCCAGCTCATCGGGGTCTCTGTTGCTACAGGAAACACTACTGAAGGTATCATTGTCAACCTCTGCAGCCAATCGAGAACCATCTTTTGTTTTAATGAATTCTAAATGCTTCTCCACTTCCATTTCATATATAGACTCCCGATTCATGGTTGCTGTGTCAAAATGACTAATTTCAAACTGCTCACATATGGCAGCTTGTTTTGGAGAGTGTATTTCTGCATCCTCATCACTTTCAGTCTTTGTTTGGGTTTCCTCTGCTAACCTCTCAAAGTCTGAGTCATGTTCAGTATTTGTCTCAGCATCTGTCATTAAGACACTGTCAGAGCCTTGCAACAGATGGTGCCCACAAGAATCCTGCTTCCTAGACTCTGAGCCTATAGCAAGTTCCTGTTCAGAAGACACTGATTTGATCCACTGGACAACACGATGTGTAGGACTAGGTGAGCTTGAAGGAATCTGTGACTTTTGCAGTCTGGGACGCATGGGGAGATTCCAGTTTGTTGTGTTTCCTTGACACTGATGGAGATGGAGAAGGTGACAACTGTGGTGATTGTGTGGATGAGCGCATCTTTTTAGGGGATTCTGATAGCTTTTGTTTCTTGGTGGAAATCATAGGACTTGATGCTGCATCAACATGTTTCACAGAAGTAACCAGATTTGAGCATTCTGATTTATTTCTATTTGAACCTGAACGTTCCACAAGACTGTCACTATTCTGAAAATTAGTAGAATCTGTTTCCTGCAGAAATGAGTAGTCATTGTTTGAAACATCACTTTCATGTCTAGTGACAGACTCCATGTGTTTGACTAGAGCTTGTTTCAAAGCCTTTTCACTGAGTTTGTTTGGCAAACATGTTCTTGGTTGACTGGATGATCTAGAATGCTCACCCTTGCTATAAGTGTGCATTGGCTGAGACTGACTGCTCCCTACCAACATTTCCTTTGGGCCATCAACCCACTGCTCTTCAGCGTCAACCTTCTTTGTTGGCCCATTTCTTGAGAATGACTCTAAGTGGTGATGAGGCTGTTGCTGATGTCCATCTCGTAAGGATGATGATGATGAAGTAAGTGACTGTGGCTGTTGGTGAACAACAAAAGCCTGTGGTCCATCCACCCACAACTCACTTGCTTTGGCTTCAGAAGAAACAGATGCCCCAGGTCCATCAATCCACAGTTCTCCATCTAAGGGACGTTGCTTTTCATGAACTACTTTGGCCATTTTACTCTGCAGTGAATGGGAATGGACTTTAGCTGGCTTATCCTGCCACTGTTCTGAACTAGTATTTCCAACACTCTCAGCTGCCTGACCATCTGATGCAGCTGAACTTTTCCCAAAAACACCCACAATGTGTCCCATTTTCACAAGGCCAGGATTTGGAGAACCTGGTACTGACAATGGGTGGCTTAGTTTCGGAAGTGCTACAGAACCAACATGTGACATCAAAGGCTGTCCTGAGAACCTGGAGTCTAGACTTCTGACAGAATGCATGCTCCTACCACTATCGGAATCATCTCCTGAAGATCTTGAACCACTAGGTCTTCTAGGAAGACGTGGGTTAGTTCTGGGCACATGCCTCGGTGGGCCTTCGTTGTCAGTCAGTTCCCTGTCACTCAATGACTGTCCATTGGCTCCAATGTAAATAACTGTGTCACATGACTGCTCACTGCTGGAAGTATAGTCTGGATCAGAGTGAGATGACGTGTACAGGATATCTTCTCTTAGAGTACCCATCCTCAAGCCACGGTAGGGACGTCTGAACTTGACATCCCCATCTGTAGAGCTGTCTTCTGAACTTGTACTGGAAAACTGAAACAAACAATTTCTTGCATGTTAAAATATGGGGGTGACTACAGTCAAGCTTATACTAGGAATTCCAGAGAAATTAGACTAAAAAGCTCATCAAAAAGGGGAAGCAGATCTACATACTCTCCTCTCCTCGTAGTTACGTTTGTGTAGTTCACTTATGTTTGAAAAAGGCTGCCCGGCCGAAACAATACGTTGTGTTGTTTTGTTCATGTTTTTCTGCTTCCCCTTTTTGTTGAGCTTTTTAGTTTAATTTCTCTGGAATTTCTTGCATGTTAACAGTTTTCAACAGGATTCATACATTTAAAAGACATAGCTTCTAAAGGTTCAGCTGAAGCTGACAAACAGATATATCTTTTTGGCAAAATCTTAAAAACAAACACTAATGTGTATACAGTGCCCACAACATGGGTAATCGAGGCCACTATTCCTTGTGTGGGTTCCGGAGCCCTATTATAGGGGGAAAAAAAGCATGTCGTAAGAGTCGACTAACTGAGAGCTTGCTTCAAGTCGGAGTGCATCTGCCTGAGAGGCAAGGAACCAGCAGTCTGTATACATATGTCAGATCTGTAAAACAGATGCACACGCAACACTCAGGTTCTGGAAAATGACTGCAGTCCAAAAGTGGATGAACAGCCAGAACTTTCCGCCAAAGCTTACAACTGGTAAGAAGAAGAAGAAGAGGGCCACCATTATTTCTAGAATATTTATCAAAATATTTTGAAAAAAAGAGTCTTAAGTCACATTTTTATAGATCCATCAAAAATGCCAACAGTAGATAATTGAGAGCAAAAAGCAATAAAGACATTGATAACATGTTAAAATCACCACTGATTACTGGCATCGTGAGAACTTGTAAACTTTACTGGTTGGGGCATATAGAGAGAACGGCAGATAACGGAGAAATAAAAACTGTGTACATAAAAGAGAAAGTTCAATGGGAGTAGATTACAAGGCAGACCAGGAATATGGTGAAGAGATAATATTCCTACAAACAACTGGAGTCATCAACTGGAAAAAGGCCAGTCAGAGAGATAAATGGAGGATATCCACAGCAATGAACCTTATAGTGATGAAGGCATTTGATGAAATAAAACAATGGACTAGGTTTAAACAATGGATCAACATCATGGCACACGGATAGTCACCCATAAGGGCTCCGTTCTACTTCTAACTCAAGCGTGATTCCAAAGAATGTCAATACACACAATACACACGGGGGTCTAATTTTACTACCCAGAGACCAGGGTAAATTACTAGAAGTCTGCCTGAAAAAAATCCCAGCACTTGAGGTGGATGTCATGCCTCGAGACCATGCAGACAATGGACAATGGACTAAAGGACAACGATCAAGAAAATATTTATTTCAGTGCTATGTTGCCCACGCCAGACATGGTTACTTACCAAGGGGCAGCTCACACAAATGCACACAGAAAGAGAGTGAGTGAGTGAGAGCATGAGTGAGTGAGTGAGTGTGTGAGAGTGAGTGAGAGTGAGTCAGTGAGAGTGAGTGAGTGACTGAGTGTGAGATGAGAGGTCAGAGAACAGCTTTCGCTGTAAAACATAAAGAGACTAATGGAGACGCGATGACAACAAACAAATAGCAGTGTCAAATAACAAACAATTCACTGCATAAGATGAAAAGTAAAAAAAAAAGGAAACGTGATAGAACTCAGTTTTTATAGACCAATCAGCCTCAAAGGGTAAATATAGTCAATATCATACTGACCACTTTACTTTCCAGGACATTACCTGGTACCCATTTTAGGCTGGTTTGACCTCAGAACTGAGGTCAACTGTGAAGAGGAAAAAAACATTCTTTATTCGGATCCGTACTCAAGACATCTGCACAGGCAGGCTAGCTTCTAGTCACTACACTAGGGTGGCTTTCCCACTACATATAGTTCAGTCAGTCAGTAGCATGTCCTTTGCAGAACCTCGCTCTAACAACCTTCTCGAACACTTCTTGAGCGCAAGCAAGATACCCCGCGTCTGATACACCCATCTGGAGATCATCCACCACATTCTGCACCCATCTTCTCTTTGGCCTTCCTCTTCCTCTCATCCCTGGCACATACAGTTACAGGGAGCAAAATTGTTCGGTCATCAGGGAGGTATAAAACATAACAGCCGCTTTTTGTAGATTTTGCACAAGAAGTATAAGGCACGATGTCGTCATCTGATATTCTGACAAAGTCTTACTTCAGTGTAAAGACATACCGACAGAAGAATTAAGCATATGCACTTAACAACAGCAGTAGTAACTGAGTAGGGTTATCATAGAAATAATATCATCCTGGTTATTTTTTTAGGTGTGCCCTGGCTGTGACGTCAAACCGGCAATTGTACAATTCAAAATTTGATAAAATATTATGAATAAACTCGAGAACAGAACGTACACTTATTGTTATATATGTAGACCGTATTACATTTACATGTTATAAAGATGTGTGTAAGCGGGACATGAATGATATAGGTACTGAGGCCATGGAAGTATTGTGTGGAAAGGGCATATCAGGAAGGGAATGAGACTGAAGGAAGAAATGATTGCAGAAAGGATGAGAGCTGAGCGTCTGAAAAGAAACGGATTAAACGCGAATGTTTTTAACAATGGTCCTGAAATCTCATGCTATCATTGTGGAAAACTTCTTGACACGGCGGCGGGTCTTGCTAGTCACACTCACCATCAACCATGGGCTGTGTCTCGTGCCTCCTCATAGGGCAGTGTAAAACTATCGTCTGGAAAGACGGAAAGGTGCCAATGAATGATTACATTTCATAGTTTTGAATAATGTTAATGTCTGAAATGTGTTGATTTTCATTTGAACTGTAGTATGTTTTTTTCTAGTTCAGTTAAAGAACATATTGTGTGGTTTATTTCTGAGACCAATGGTTCGGGTTACATACCACTGTCGAACGAGTGATTAACCGTTTCATCCCAGTTACCCAGACACAAAAAAGGTGGTGGTGGTAGTTTTGGTTAACTGGCTTGCATAAGGTGTTCAGCTTTCAGCTCAAGATATTATGACCATCTTATAATTGATCCCAAGTAAGCAATAATTACAGAAATACCCATGTGAAATAATACATCTTATGAAAGGACAGCAAATATGTAAGCGAAAATATAAGAATATTTCATGCTGTAGACAGAAAGACAATTAAAAAAATAGATGAAAGCGATAGGCGCGAGAGAAAAACAATTAAAACACAGAATGGAAAGTAAATGAATAATAAAATAATTTAAATAAAAAAATTCTACCAATCCCAACCTTTGTTCTCCTTCGCTTCATTCTGTGAATTCGTGCTGCCAACTGTATGACCTGTAGAGTTTCGTTGTAGTGGGGTACTGCCGAGGATACGTGAGCGATCATGCAGGTTCTGCAGGACAGGTTGCCCAGTGAGTCTCTCAATAACTGTGCAATCTTGCTATCTCTGAAGATACAATTTTTTCACACAGTATTAGGATTCTGAAAGTAGAGCTCAATCCACATTGGATATTAAACACAGGTGACTTGCCAACACAAGTCGTATGCTGTCAACGATGGATTGAGAAAGAATTCACATGTATATCAATTTAAACACATCTGTAAACAGTTCTGAAAGGATCTGAGCCGTTTTATGTTTTAAGTATCAAGTCTTGCAACTTCATTCATAGTTTACTGTAACATAAACGAGGGTTTGCTGTGAGACGTTTATGTCCTGTGTGAATAAGCCTTGGTGAAAATAGGACCAGGCGGGTATTAATTAAACAAGACTAGTAAACGCAACATAAATATGTATGTGGTACAAGTTCGGAATTATTATATCATACGAAAACTCCATATAAATAGTCACAGTGTGCAACAAGAACATGTGTAAGCATCTAGCGTTTCCATAAATCTCACTACTCCCTCCGTTGTCTGCAGGAATCACCGAGCGACAAGGAACAACCAGTTGCATACAAAAAAGCAAGTAAAATGGATTTAAACGCAAAACTCGGGTTTTGGCACAAAGCCATAGTCCAAATGAATGAACAAGGACTTTCCACTGAAGCTTACAGCAAAGAAGAAGAAAAACACACACATTTAAGCTCGGGGATATTAAGATGAAAACAAATTAGGGAAACAAAACGAAATTATTAATCATTTTTAAAAAATCAATTAACTGGCTACACTTTCACCGAAATAAGGTTAAACAGGGCTAAATCCGTTTTCATTACGAAATAAAAACAGTCACACAATCTGATCTGGTTCCTTTAAAAGACGTTGAGGGAATGTCGAAAATGTCTAGCTAGGAGTGTTTGAAAGCCAAGAACTTGAATGGATTACGTACATGAACAGACATCAACCACAGCTACTCTAAATGGTAAGTGGTGTTCACAACCAAGCAAGGTTAATTTACATTGCCTATCTGACAACCTTGTACTTATATTATGAAGGTAATTTCTCATGTTTTTAAGGCTACGTCATCTTCGTTCTTATCATCAACTCATTATGTACATTCATCATCATCAGATGCCTTGCCGACTGGTGTGGGCGATCATGCCTCTCCATAATCCACGATCTCCTGCAGCATGTATCAGTTCGTGTGCCGACACACCTCCATGCCATGCAACATGACTGTCAAGAATCTTCTCTCGTTGTCTTCCTCTATCCCTCCTTCCACAGATCTTTCCAGTGGTCACAACATGTTCTATTTCCCCTCACTCATGTACATTATTATGTACATTGCTAAACTGATTAAATCGTGTGTCTCCATTGATCGAAGTGTCTTTGGTTATCTGAACTAATGATATTGGAGATAATTCTCCAAACATTCGTCTTAAATCATACAACATGATGTCTCTGGGTCTTTCATGGCCCCAGCTAAGAAATCACATTGAGAGTGGGGACATAATAGACTCTTTGCCCCAATAACAAGCATGTCGAAAGAATCGACTAAGGGTTTCCTTTGAAATCTACCTTAGAGGCAAGAAAAATGCAGTCTGCATACAAATAAGAAAGATCTGTAAAACGGATGTGCATGCAAAACTCAAGTTCTGGAACATAACTAAAGTCCAGAAGTGGACGAACAACTAAATTTTTGGCCAGAGTTTTCAACTGGTGAACGCGAAGCAGCAGCAGCAGCAGAAGAAGAAGAAGAAGAAGAAGAAGAAGAAGAAGAAGAAGAAGAAGAAGAAGAAGAAGAAGAAGAAGAAGAAGAAGAAGAAGAAGAAGAAGAAAAAGAAGAAGAAGAAGAAGATAAGGAGGAGATAAGATTTTCTATAAACATCACAGATGCAAGTTTTTCTTCGGGTACCGTTGGGTCTTTTCATTCTTTATTCCTCTTATTGTGAATGCGCGCAACTAGTGCGAAATTGTGCGTGTTTTTATGTTTCCTATGTGTAGTCAGTCGGCTAGAATGGAAGCTATCAACAAGACGCTTTGGGAAATGCTTAACCTTAAGATGGGGGACAAAGCTGACACCCCACTCCCGTCCACACAGGTCATGAATCATTGGATAGTGTAGAAACCCCGGACTTTCAATGTGAGCGCGCGAAATCGGCCGGAAGATCCGCTCGCTATTGACTCGGATAGAGTGGTGATATAAATCTAAGATCCCTCTTTCCGGGCGCCTTGCAGGACATGTTTGGTTCTCTGGTATATCTGGCGAAATTCCGGTGCATCTTAATAACGTGTTTCTGGTCTGTTGAGTTTAATCAGAATTGGATTGGGTGACAGTGATAATACCGGATGAGCGTTGTTTATGAGGGTTGTGTGCTAGAGGGTGTTATCTGATCTATTTATCCATTTTCTACACTTTCTCTAGCAATAAATTATAGTGGGAGACGACAAGGAGTAAACGAATGGCTACTGATAAAAGTTATCGGCCTATACGTGAACAATATATCAGGATCTTCCATTCAAACGGAAGGAGATATACGCGTTATACTTATAGGAGATATACTCTTTTATTCCCAGGCAATTTTCCAAATTTATCTCAATTTTATGTCGTTACACCTTCAGAAAGAGGAGCGACTGGCCGAATGGTTACAACGTCGCGCTCTCATGTGGGAGACGGGAGTTCGACTCCCTGTAAAATGTCAGCGGCAAAATAAAATATCCTAACCTGTACAGGAAAGGTGCAGTCGGCGTCTGTGGCTTAGGCGTTGCTAACTTGCTTTGTAATGCCAAGGTGTCGTGTTCGATCCCAGCTACGGACGATTTGTCTTGCGTTGGTTTCGACAGTGGTACCGAGAGCTGACCGTGCAGAATCAATGGCAAACTCCTGAGCTTAACATTTGCCTAGAAAAACTACAACAGCCAACCAAAAAAAAAAAAAAAAAAATGTTGGGGTTGGTTCTGCAAAGTCCTGTAAAGGATACGCAACTAACGACCTGTAGTGTACAGTCCGTGACGACAGATCTGGCTATGCGACCCTAAATCCTCCGGCTCCCGACCCACCTGTCTTCACCGCGTTAAAAAAGTGCGGTAAATACACAAATTTGTTAAAGTTTCAGGCATTTTTTTTTAAAAATACCGTCAGAAATCATTAATTTAATCAATGTGCCTGAGCGTAAAACAAATAAAATAATGAAACCTTAAGGCAGAAAGAGTTAATGTAACAAACAGGAGTAAAAAGGGTTTGTGTAACAACGGGTTTGGGTTGACAAATATCAACCAATCAAATGCCGTTTCCAGTGTGAAGATGTCTGTAACAGATCTCCAACACGTTCTGTCTCTTGCCTTGGTTGTACACATTCCAAAACTGCTGCTGTTCGTCTATCTCTTGATGTTGTCTGCACACTTTGTGGTATAACTCTTGCCTTCTTTATCTAAAGTATATTTTTTTCTAAAAGATTGTTATGTCTTTGTGTGGCCATTATCTTTCATTCTTCTCTTTAATTATTTATTTTTTTTTTTTCATTCCGTATCTAAGCAAAACCTTTTTATTCGACTGTCTTTGCTTTCTTTGAAATATTACCTTTTTTTTTCTCCTTTTCTTAAATTTATTTGTACGTATCCAGTGACTCATTGCGATTTTTGTAGTTGCTTGTTCATTGTCCAGGTCAGCACACCCTACAGCAGGAAAGGCTATTTATTAATATCATAATTCTCAGTTGTAATGTGGTGCTTTCCCTTTATAGCTCATCGAAGCAGATTTTTTTTTAAAATGAACTTGGCTGTCAGGTCGCCCCAGGATAAAAAGGGTGTCAGGTTATGTCCTGGGAAGTAAAGGCGGCTCGTAAGATATAAATATAGCACTATGTACACGCGGGAGCCGCCATAGTGTAGCAGTTAGACGCTCGCTTGCCGATCCGAAGGTCGCGTGTTCAGATCTGGGCTCCCAGGTTGACCCAGCCTCTAATGGGTATCAGGTACAAGTCTTGGGAAGTGAAGGCTATCGGCTTGATGTTGACCACATCCTCCATTGAGTGCCTTTTGGTGTATAAAATACAGATCTAGTCCTATATGCCCAATACGCATGAAGGCATGGAAACTATAGTCTCGTACTTTTACTATATACATGCAATGCACCTTCTTCTTTTCTCTACTTTTGGAATGCCATGCAGCGTCGGCGCAGGAAGAAATCTCTGGAACGGCCCCTTCTGTTCGCTTCGTATAAATTACTTTTCACTGTCTCTGATATTTCTGCAGTCAATTCTCTGTACGATGGGCCTCTGGGTCCGTTACCGCTGTATCTGTATAACGTTGCTCTCCATGGTGCCCTGTCCAGTGCCGGTCCTCTCACCAAACCATTTGATTTCTTGTCTACCTATAACGTTTGGTATTGGTTCTGTGTCGAGTCTCCTCCTGATATCATCGTTCTTAAGTCGATATTTCCTCGTTATTCAGAACGTAAACATTTCATTTCTGTCGTCACTGTTTTCCTTCTGTCTTTTGCAGACAATGTCCATGTTTGACGTTGATAACATTGCGCTGATAAGAATACTGTGTTGAACAGTGTTCTCTTAGTGATCATATTCACAATGTACTAACGGTGAGAAAAGCGCCCTTTACTTGTTACCTGATTGGCGCCTTTCCGTCTTTCCAGACGATAGTGTAAAATGCGCTATAGGGAAGACCTCCTTTCCATAGCACAAAGCCTGGGAAGTATTGTAGAGACTATATGCTGCCCATGCATAATGATCCCTCTCTCCACCTGCCTTGTTTACTCCAAAGAAAAGGTAAAACCAGTACGTTTGGAACGAGGCAGGCCGCAGAAGCTCTATCTGTCCGCCTGTCAGAGCTTTCCTCCTAGACCGGCCGCCAACCAAAGGGAAGTGCCTAGTCTGCCCTGTCATAACATAACAGGCGATGTAGAGAAGAGAATCCTGTTGCTGTTAATGCAGAGGTCAACGCTCTCATCGGTGAAAATTCAGACGAAGCAGATGCACTAATCTACACAGACGGATCCGTTATACGCCAAAGAAGAAGCGCATGGGCATTTACAGCACGCTCAGCGGGCAGAACAGTCAAAGAAGCCAACGGTGCCTTATCCATGACAACCAGCAGCATGACGATGGAGGTGATGGCAGTGACGCAAGCGTTTGCCTGGCTTGAAACACAAAAATACACCCGCATCTGTATACTCAGTGATTCAATGAGTATGATCCGGAGGGTTCAGGCAGGTTCAGTGCGAAGACAATGGCTTGAATCATTACAGAAGTCCACTGTGCGTGGAGTCACCTTTATTTTTGTTCCGGGACACGCAGGCGTCGATGGAAATGAAAGAGCTGACAGGTTGGCTGGATCCGCTATCACTACCGACGGTCGGCCTATGGATCATGCTGATATTATCAATGCCCTCAGAGAAATGGGAAGGATAGAGGACTTTGGTGGCAGTGAATCCACATCACTCGCCAGAATGGCAGACTTGGGAATTAAGATCGGCACAGCAAAAAAACGAGACGCACACCGGACACGTCAGAAGACTTGTTAATCAACATAGAACTGGTACTATTAGCCATCGGACGTTGGGGTTCATACTGAGGGGAGGATCTGAGCACCTATGGACATGTCCGGAGTGCAATGACGATAACCCAACTAACTAACTAACTAACTAACTAACTAACTAACTAACTAACATAAAGTTTTCAGGTTGCATTTCCTCTTCCTAGGATAAGGCTAGTATCCTCCCCAATGCGCTCTTCCGCCCAAAGCCGTTGGCACAATATAAGATGTTGGATTAGCATATGCCGCCCAACATTCGGAGTAACAGAAGACAGGTGGTACCGGCTACTGTTATACGGTAGCTCAGTCATATCTGACCAAGACCTGACCAGCAACTGACTTGTTACCTATAACCTAAACTAATGAATCTGCCAACAACTGACCTGTGGGGCACATGCCGCTGACCATTAAGCAAGGCCATGATGACGTTGCCGAGAGCAGAGAGGCTGAGGGACACATTGCTTGGGTCTTTGGATCTGGAGGACGTACCAAGGTCAATCAGATGAAGACGTGATCTTCCTCCGGCAACTGTAAAGATATTCAGAGAAAGATATGCATGATTATAAACTCACAGTAGGAATAAACATACACAGGCATGCGTACATAAACAAGTATAGACACATGCACAAAAACACACCATAAGGCCGATAAGTTTTATGCTTTTAGGTTCATACTTGGATAAAACAATCAGCGCCGGATATGAGGAAATATAGCGTTGGTCATCTTTACATTCCACAACCTTTCCTTGGGTATTCGTTTCAGGTAAGTTGGATTCGGAAGTCAATATGCTCATTTTAAAACCATTTTCTGTCTCGAGTAATACTTGACCAGGCCTCTCTCTCTCTCTCTCTCTCTCTCTCTCTCTCTCTCTCTCTCTCTCTCTCTCTCTCTCTCTCTCTCTCTCTCTCTCTCTCTCTAATTAAACCTGTTTTAGCGGACCGATGGGTGAAGAAAAATAAAAGATATATTGTTCTAGGGTTTTCTCAAAATGTGTCCTATCCAGCGTTTTTTCTTTACCCATCGGTCCGCTTAAACATGTTTAGTTCTCTCCCAAAGCTCTACTACATTAGTGACTTTAACATGCCATTTATTTCCTCTATTCTGTGCAATCACTAGTTTCAACAGTTATGGCTCCCTAAATCTTCCGGCTCTCGACACTCCTGTGTACACCGCGCTATAAAAGCACGTTTGCTCCTTTGGGAGTTAGAAAGGCAGAAGAAGTCTAGTGATTGCCCTATATAGCCAGATATCTGCATGTACACACACTCACACGTGTGCAACTGCTGATCTGTTGGTAACTTCTGCTACCGTCGATAATGAAGTGCATTTCTAATGTTTGTGTTAGCACTTCTGATGGCTACCGTATGCTTTTAATGCGTATGTGTGCTAGTGCATATGCTGAGACAGCATTCTGTCAATCTTTCCACAAGGGACTGTGAAGAACATTCTGTGTGTTTTTCTTTGGCACAAAAGCGGAGCAACTATGGGGTGACCCGTTGTTATGAAGCTGAAACTATGCTGAGACAGCATTCTGTCAATCTTTCCACAAGGGACTGTGAAGAACATTCTGTGTGTTTTTCTTTGGCACAAAAGCGGAACAACTATGGGGTGACTCGTTTGCTATGAAGTTGAAGCTAAGATTACCAAGATTACCAAGTTCTGAGACAGAGAAGATTGAGCTATATTGTTGGACACGTTCTGACAAGAGACGAACAAATTCAACAAACAGTCACCGAAATGGGAAACAGAGAGACTGAGGAGACGAGAGCGTTCAACGGAAACATTGAGGCGAACATTAATGAGAGAATCCTTTTGTGGTGGGCTGGAGTTCATACGCGATATCGAAATGGTTGCACAAAATAGAATGAAACTGAGAAATCAAACGGGAGCCACATGTGACACATAATGGCACAAAATGGCAATGAATGAATGAATGAATATTTGTGCAGACGTGTTGTTCGTCCATCACGAGTGATGAAGACCACTTTCAACCAAAGTAGCTGGGTGAAATGACTTTCGCAAGGACTTAGATTTAAGTGAGGAAGAGTTACGCAATTCGTCGACCTCCTCACTATCTCGCCTGTGTCCATCTTGGTCCAATGGCAGGACAACGTGGAGACGATTGGAAATGGACCTAGGTGGGTGACCAAGGCGTCTTAAGTGCCCTGACTTGCTCGAAGCTCTGTGCAGACCATATGTACACAGAGACAACGGGTTTTGGCAAAGGAATATTGCATACAATATTCTTCATTATGGCCATTCCATTAGAATATATACGCACAAATGTGTGTATTTGATGTGTGTGTGTATGTATGTTTAAGAGAGAGAAGCATTAGACGCCTCTCGTAATAAAGTTCTTCCTAATGTTTCCTTGTGTGTCTTCTTTTTCTCAGTCCGTTTGTTTCCCATTTCAGTGCATATTTTGTAATTCTTTGTTCATTTCGTCTCACAGTGTGCCCAGTATATCTCCACCTTCTTTGTCGTACTGCAGTCAACATAGGTTTTTGTCCTGACATTTCTCTGATCTCCTTTCTCGTTTTAATTCACCCCTTGTTACGTCCATGAATTTTCTGAGACTTTTTTTTTTTCAAATCCATTTTTACCTTCGTTCCATGTCGTTGGCGGTTCGCCATCTGTCGCTGGCACATGTTAGAACTGACATAACATTAGAATTGAAGATCTATAATGTGGCCTTAAAGCTGTATAATTTGGAGATCCATATTTTGTTAGGACTTTTAAAGACTTGTTGCTTTGCCAACCTAATTTCCTTTATTGGATCTCCTCGAAAGTCAAAATTGCTACCCAAATAAGTGAAACATTCGGTTACTTTTATAAGATGCTTCTCGAACATGATATTCATATAATCCTTTGTTGGTATCTTTTATATATTTATTTTTCATATAACTTATTTGTAGTCCTATTTTTGATGGTGTGAACGACAAATACACGCTGCCATGACAACTTCATGTCCATCACAAATAAATTAGACCCAACAGATAAGAGAACATCATATGTATGTACTCTGATGTCACGGATATCTCATCAGAAATAGCAAAGAAATAGATGATTCATCAAAGCTATGTAACTTTATACAATTACTTAGACAGAAAAAATTTGTTGTTTAAAAGTTTAACATATAACTTCAGAGAATTAATGCGCATTCATTCTGACGGCCGACATTTTGCTGTAAACAAGAAGGCCGTTAGGGCACCAGCCTGGCCGAGACTGTGGTATGTTAAGATATGGATGAGAGCAACTCTACTAACGAAAGCCCCAGCTACCGAAAAGAACATAATTTTGTCATAATTTAAACGTTCAAACTCGGTGTAATGTAATATGTTAAACTGTTAAAATTTCACAGGATACTTTAGGGTTCAACCAATCATCTGACAGTTCTTTTGCACATGGACTATTTATAGTTTTTAGGTGTATTGGCTTTCCCGTCAACTAATAAAAACCGCACCATAGCATAACTGCGTTTCTCTCTCTCTTTAAAATTTATTTTCAGACTCCGAAATCCACCAAAAACGATAGTGGGTTGAATTATTTGAGAAATTTTCAATTTTGCCAGGGCAAGCGACCCATATCTGTACATGCTTGTAAAACAGAAAAGGTCGGTGAACAACAATATGGGCTCTGGGACAGAACAATGCACCGGACTCTAGCTACACAGCCGCTACAGGGATACCAATATAAACAAATAATCAACACAATTGAGAAACAATATGTATGATGTTTCTACAATAAAGGTTTGCTATGTACCCTTCACGCTGATATCTCTGGGAATGGCATGTAGTGATGCCTTAATCTCTTTCACAGTGCGACTCTCACACCGGCTTGACTTTTCTGAATAGCTGCTGCAGTTCTAGCAGCATCATGGGCCAGAGCTCCTTGATGAAGAGAGCAGCGCTAGGATAAGCGGTTACATGCAATTTTATACAGATACAGCGATAACAGAGCAGAATATGGACCACAGAAATATCAGAAACCCTGAAAACTACTATATACAAAGCGAACAAAAGGGCACATTCCAGAGACCTCTTTTTGCCCTGACGCTGCGAGGCACTGCAGGAGTAGAGAATAGAATACGAATAAGATCCCACCAAAAAGTTTCCTAATTTTGACGATAAGCAAAAGAGATAAAAGGTAGTGAATATCCTGTGTCGTAGTTAGATCTTATTATCAGGAGTAAGAAAACAAATATCTTATAGGCAACCAAGTATAGCCTGTAGCTTTAGATAATTCAAACACGCAGGCGATCTCTGCAATATATCACAACCCTCGACCTGTCAAACCAAGGCAAACTTATCTATCATTTCCTGTGAGGTCGGTGCCGATTGTATCAGTAAAGACACGGCTATGGACCAGCTCTTTAAACAAACATACAGACCTGTAATGGCTGCTTTAATAACAAAATTAGCAACGTAAAATGAGAATCAAGCCCTCGGGTCTGTTTACAATCTTGATAATAGTGGCTGATGTTTCTTTGGCAAATTTTGCGTGGCGGTGCAGGGAGAAACGTCGTGAAAATGTGTAGATTTTGTGGATAAGCGTTAATAAAAATAACAATGGCTGTGAAATTTGCTTTCAGGGTATTTTGTGCTAATTTAATATAATCTGTAACGTAAAAATAGAAATAGTTAGGAAATCTAAACTCAAGGCAGACCAAGAAGACGATGGAGAGAAAATATCCAGACAGATTTGCCAACACTTGGTGTCACCAAGTGGAAAGAGAAGGCAACTAGAGAGATGAGTGAAGACGGGTGATATCTGCAGCTAAGAACCTCATGGGCTCGAAATGCTTAAGAAGAAGCAAAAGAAGTCAGGAAATCTTCACTCGACTTTGATGCGTTCTAAAGTGCATTAAAAGAACAGCGGTAATAGATAAGTTAATTTTTTTCTTCTTCTAGGATTGCAGGCTATAGGATGAACATCTGAAGGATGAGAATCACAAACAGGTACAAGTGATATTCAACATAACAGGTCAGCGCGAACTTTAGCTGAAAACACTGATTATCGTGAAACAAATGAAGCTGATCTATTTATCTTCTGACGCCAGTCTTGTGCCCAGACATAACATGTAATCATGGTTTCTGAGTGTCTGATATCACTCGAAAAAAATAATATCCATCTCTGAGCTAAAGAGCTATCACACTGTTGCTCATCTTTCCGACTTCCTGTCTGTGTGAAAAGACTTTCTCAGCCCTGCCGGTAATTTTAAAAGAGACACACACACACACACACAAACATACACACACACACACAGAGAGAGAGAGAGAGAGAGAGAGAGAGAGAGAGAGAGAGAGAGAGAGAGAGAGAAATCTAATGAAGTTATTGCAGCGTTTCATCTATCAGAATTAACGCTCTAGTGACGTACAGCAGATTTTCTAACTGCTAAGCAGCAAACCTTGCGTTGATTTCGGCAGTAGTATGGACAGCCGACGGCGTCCCTGGCTAAGGCGTTGCGAGTTTGACTCGTATTCCAACGTACCGCGATCGAAACCCACTGCTGGCTGCGTGGACTTTTA